CAGGATGATGCGGCTTAATGTTTTACTTGGGGTGGAGAGGAGAGTGATTCCGCGCCAGTTCTTGCAAGCACTGAGGTCTCCCTTCTTCGGCAGTTTGACAAGGTAACCCTTCTTCCAATCGTCAGGTACCTTCTCTTCCTTCCACACCTTCTGCAATAGTGGTGTGAGCATGTCCGCTGTTGTCTCTGCATCTGTTCTCAGTGCTTCTGGCGGTATTCCATCTGGTCCTGCTGCTTTCCCACATTTCAGTAGCTTTATGGCGTTCAGGACTTCCATTTTCGTTGGGGGATTTATGTTCACTTGTAATTCAGCGGCTGCAGGTGGTATTTCTGGACGAAGTGCAGGTGGTGGTCGATTCAAGAGCTTCTTGAAGTGGTCGGCCCATCGTTTCCTCTGTTTCTCTTCTTTTGTAATTAAATTTCCTTCTTCATCTTTTATTGGTTTCATCTGTGTTGGTCTCTTCCCTGATAGCAACCTGGTTATTTGATACAATGTCGTCAGGTCTCTCTTACCTGCAGCCTGTTCTGCTTCACTTGCCAGTGTGTCGTAGAAGTGTCTTTTGTCTTTGCGTGCACTCTTCTTCACTTCTTTATCCAGTGTTTTATACATTGTGCTCAGTTCCTCTTGTCGTTGAGCATCCTTGCACTGGTTTATCTTCTGCTTCACCATCCTCCTCTCCTCTATCAGCTTCCAGGTATCCGTCGAGATCCATTCCTTGTCTTCTTTCTTCTTCCTTCCTAATACTGTTGTGCAGGTTTCTTTCCACATAGCTTTCAAAGACTTCCAGTGTTCTTCCACACAGGTTTCTTCAGGGATGTCCCTCGATGTCTCCCATTTTGTCTTGATGGCTGCCTTGAAGATCTCCTTTGTAGTTTCATCCTTCAGTTTCCGAGTGTTGTACTTGAATTGAGGTCTATCACCAGCTTCCTTGAAGGCTTTTAACTTGATTTGGAAGGTTCCTTGCACTAGACAGTGAGTGGTCTGAACCTACATCTGCTCCTCTTCTTGACCTTGTGTTAAGTAGACTGCGTCTCCATTTTCTTGAGATTGAGATAAAGTCGATTTGATTTTTAGTGTGTCCATCTGGTGAAGTCCATGTCGCTTTGTGGATATCCTTGTGCCTGAACACACTGCCTCCAATCACCAAATCGTTGAATGCACAGAATTCTGCAAACAATTCTCCATTCTCATTCATTTCACCTAGCGCCTCTCGACCCATGGTTAGTTCTCTTCCCGTGTTGTCCCCTCCCAGTTTGGCATTCATGTCGCCCATTAGAATTTTGATATCGCCAACTGACGTCTTGTCCAGTGTTGATTGAAGTTGTCTGTAGAATTCCTCCTTTTTCTCTTGCTCTGCATTATTTGTAGGTGCATAACATTGTATGATTGTGACCTTTCTTCCTTTTGAGTTGAATCTTGCTGTCATGATCCTGGAGGAGATTGGTTCCCACTGCATGAGAGCCTTCGATGCTCTTGAGGACATCATGATAGCCACTCCCTCAGTGTGCTCGTGGTTGGCGTCTGGGTGACCGGAGTAGATTATTGATTCTCCAGTTGACAGTTTGGAGAGTCCACTCCCATTCCATCTGCTTTCGCAAATCCCAAGCACTTCGATGTGATACCTTCTCATCTCCTTTGCAATCTGGGCTGCCTTACTGGGTTCAAACATCGTACGGACATTCCATGTCCCCACGTTTACTTTCGCTTTCATCGAGAGAAGACACATCGGCCAATTGGCTTCCCGAAGGCTTTCACCAACTGGCGTCATTTCGCCTCTCCGATTCCAGCGGGGAATAAGTTTGTTTTCATTTTTTATATTTTGTTTGTGCTTTGAAGTTTCTTTAGCGGTTAGATTTGTTTTACGGGGTAGGGTTGCTAGCCCTATGCCCAACCTTCCCTCTTTACCCGGGCTTAGGACCGGCTAGTAACTAGTAAACTAGTTAACCAGGCGAGGTTTTCTCATAATAATAAAAATTATTAAAAGACAATTCAGTGAAGGAGATTTTCTCTACGACGAATCATTTCCAATAGCTGTACATTGCATTCATAGCTAAAACAAGATATATATATATATCCACCAATGGCTAATGGATCACTACAAGGTCATCAAAAATGATCAATCAAATCACAAGGTGATAACAGCTAGAAGGTCAAAACAAGGTCATCGAAAATTCCTTATAGGATTATAATAAATGAACACACAGAAATTAATAAAATAATCTTAGGGAGACTATGATCAAGGCAACAATTAGAGATTGAATGTATCTCTTATGAACAGAAAGAGCAGGTTTGTAGTGTTGAATTGTCTTCACTTTATAAATAACTTTGAAAGAAAACTCTCGTGGAGTAAAGTGAATGGAGATAAATGAAGTCTCAAGAATCCAGTTGTTGATTGCTTTCCCTGTACATTAGTCAGTTATGCAGCATGGTGTTCAGAGTTGCATTTGAATAGATCACAGTTTGTATGGCCTATGTAACCAGTTACACATGAGGAGGTGATTTAGTAAGAAGAAGACCTCTTTTTTGCTCACCTTTGGATTTTTTTTTTCTCCACTCAACTAGTGATTCGAGGGTAAGTAAAGACAAAATAACACTTTGGGCAACCTACATATGTGTTTCTCACCTTGCCTGCTCATGTGTAACTGGTTACATAGGCCATACAAACTGTGATCTATTCAAATGCAACTCTGAACACCATGCTGCATAACTGACTAATGTACAGGGAAAGCAATCAACAACTGGATTCTTGAGACTTAATTTATCTCCACTCACTTTACTCCACGAAAGTTTTCTTTCAAAGTTATTTATAAAGTGAAGACAATTCAACACTACAAACCTGCTCTTTCTGTTCATAAGAGATACATTCAATCTCTAATTGTTGCCTTGATCGTAGTCTCCCTAAGATTATTTTATTAATTTCTGTGTGTTCATTTATTATAATCCTATAAGGAATTTTCGATGACCTTGTTTTGACCTTCTAGCTGTTATCACCTTGTGATTTGATTGATCATTTTTGATGACCTTGTAGTGATCCATTAGCCATTGGTGGATATATATATATATATATATATATATATATATATATATATATATATATATATATATATATATATATATATAGTTTTAGCTATGAATGCGATGCACTGCTTTTGGAAATGGTTCTTCAAAAAGAAACGTTTCCTCGATATATCATTTCCTACCATTTAATGGAACTATTTTCATTCTTTTAATAATATTCAAACACTGATATGTAATCGGAAGGAGCAATGATTGTTTTTCAGTATTCTGACTGTAACAATGGTGTTTTGCAGTGCTAAATTTCTGTAAAAGAAAGGTTGTATAGATGTTGATCGTTGCCTGTTCTCTTGTTTTTTCATCAATAGCTGAATTTAATTAAAAGGAATGTTTGTCATAATTTTTGTCACCAGTTTATATATCGTTATAGCTATTTGTGAGTGAACTCTTGTACAATAACCCTCCACTTCACCTTATGGTTTAGTATCTAGTTAAACATGTACTAAAGGCTGATAGCTTATGTATCTTTCCCATTATTATTATTAATTATTTTTCCCTTGGATTCTCAGCAGAACATAGAACTTCAGCAGCATGCCTCCATTTCACTGTCTTCTCTGTAGTCTTTTCAACCTGGTTCCACGACTGCCCACAAGCTTCACTTCCTCCTCACATGATCTCCATCTCACCCTCGTCTGGGACGCCCGACTCTCCGTTTCCCATTTGCATTTGACTCGAGCGATTGGCCTAGCGCATGATAACCCCAATCGGCCTTCTCAGTGTATACCCAATCCAATCTATCTCCACTTCCTTCCGAATATTTGTTGACTGGTTCGTTGACAGGCCAGAGTTCCTTGTTGCTTATTCTCATTATTCTGGCCATATGATCTGATCTTCAGTATCGAGTGAGCGTAGGCTGTAGCTGTTGATGAATATCTGTAGTTTGTTGGAAATGATTTTCGTGACACATCAAGTCTCTGAACCATATAGCAGCACTGACTTGACTGACGTTAGTGTTGAAAGTCCGGATCTTGTTCACGCTTGATGCTGAGTGTAGAAGATCTCCACACGGATTTCAGATTAATGAAAGCCTGTCTTGCTGTCTTTCCGATGCTGGCTGCTTTGACATCCTCATGTATACAGCCACCTATAGTTTGAAACGATTCCGCCTAAGTAAGTGAAAGAGACTACTTTCCTCAGGTTTCTCCCATTCATCGTGATTGGTGCTTGTTGTTACTTGGCTATCTTCATCAACTCTGTCTTCTTTACATTCACTTGAAGTCTTGTCTTCGATACCCTACCTCTTCTGTAAATTTCTTAGTTTTCACCTGTACATCTTCGAGTTTGTGCTACAACAAAGACATTAGACATAAATCATCATCATCATTGGCGAAATCCAAATCTTCTAGGCTCTTTTTGTCGGTCACATAGGGTATGCCCATCTTCTTGCTTTTTACATTTGGTTGTATGATCTAGTCGATCACAATCAGGAAGATCATTGGTGACATGTTTCCCATGGCCTTAAGATATTCTACACTTTTCTAGAAAAGTCTTTAACCAGTCTGAGATTCACAGTATGATTAGTTGTGAAGACTTTTTAAAGAATTCTAAGCGGTATTTAGGACGTTAAGGGATACTTTCCCACTCCATTACATTTAGATGATGATTTCCTTTTTACCAAAATAAGACTATTTACTCAATTGATTTGAATGAATTGTGAAGTTATTGGACAATTTACAAATTATCTGCATCCTACCTAAGTTTCTTTTGTTAAACGGTTTATGTTTATGTATGATTCAGTTTATCAGTTTACTTTAACCCTTGTATAGTAAAGATATAATCATCTATGCTTATGATCAAACAATCTTAAAATATTTTACTGGAAATAGACGAACAGTAAGTAATATTACAAAAGTATTCAGTTGCTATGCTTCATTAGTGTTACCATTTCTGAAATATATTCTATTTTATTCCTTTGAGTATTGTAGTATACTATGATGATGATGATGATGATGATCCGTATGCAAGACCACCTGAATTGTTTACAACACATTTTAAAGCATTACAAAAGAATATTCCTGTTAGTGGAAAAACTCACACCTCTATTCCACATGATAATAATCATCATGAATTAGATATGAAAAATAATTTCAATCATAATGCTATTCCAAAGTCTAGTTATCATATTCCAGGGGAACAAAGACATTATACATCTGAAAACTGGTGGAATAATAATCAAACAAGTTATCAACCATCATCTGATCCTACAGGTATAAAGGATATACCGTTAGCATGTACTTCTAATTCTGAATATCCATTACAAATGATACATCCCGGTGAAAATGTACATATTCAGAGTAGACTAGATCAAAACCATTTACAAGGTTAGTTAATTTTGTAAAATTCTCTAAAATTAGATTGTAGAGTAGTTATTTGACAGTTTTATAGAGAATTGATGGATTTCTGAAAAATTCATTATGTATCCTAGTCCATGAGAATGCTGACCAAGGACATTAAATAACAGTTGTACTATATCAGTAAGATCTACATGCAAAAACTAACAAGTTGACAGAAGATGGAACGAAGACGTAACTTCAAGTGAACGTAGAGAAGATAGAGGTGATGATGACACCCTACCAACACCACCACCACCAACAACAACAACAACAAGCTCCAATCACCATCAATGGGAGAAATTTAAAGGAAGAAACCTCTTTCACGTATCTAGGCAGCACTGTTTCAACTACAGGTGGCACAGATGAGGATGTCAAAGCCAGCCAGGATCGGAAAAGCAAGACAGGCGCCTGAAACTAGTGTGAAGATCTTTTGCACTCAGCATAAAGAACAAGATGTCAGTGGTGATATATGGTTCAGAGACTTGGCGCATTACGAAAGGCATTTCCAACAAACTATACACATTCATCAACAACTGCCTACACTAGCTCGATACTGGAAGCTCAGATGGCCAGAATAATGAGAATAAACAACAAGGAACTCTGGTCTGACAACGAACCAACCAAGAACCTATCGCCTAACAAATATGCAGTAGAAGGAAGTGGAGATGTATTGGACATATACTGAGAAGACCATTCGGGGAAATCATGCGCCAGGCCCTCGAATGGAATCTGAAAGGGAAACGACGAGTTAGGTCTCCGAGGCAAAGGTGACATAGAGGAGATGGTGTGAGGAAGAAATGAGAGCTGCTGGGCAGTGGTGGAGCCAGGTTCAAAAGATTGCAGAGAACAGAGTAGAATGGAAACGTGCTACTGAATCCCTTTGTTCCACTGTGCACCCAAGAGACAAATAACAGTATAATAATAACATTAATTGGTAGAGTTCCAAAGTTAATTTCCACTTTGTAACAAGACTATTTCGATTGTTGAAAGAACTTTAAAACTCAAACTACCGTATGGCGATTCCGTGCTTAAATAGGAACATGCTTATGGTCAAACCTGACCGTCCTGAATTCTTCTGTCTGACATGGCAACAAAGTGCACACCACCGACACATTCGGAACCTTGTCACTACTCCTACTTCCAATGACTATGTAGGTACTTTTGATCCATAGGTGGTATTCATCACGGATTAACATCGGTAGGCGAACCATTGACAACTTTGGAGTACTGGTCAAGCATTTCCTCTCTCTCTCCAAGATTTCCCAGACATGAAAAAGCATGACCCCACCAGACATCTGTGAAATGTTTCAGTAATTTTTAGGGGGTGGGATCAGTAACAATAGTAGAGCATAAACATTTACCAACTATCATTCTACATCCCTTAACCCATAATCACACTACTGAATGGATGGAATAAGATGACATTTCTGTGATCTAATATTTAGCTATATGAAAGGTGAGATTCATTATAGAATCTTTGTTCATTGAATCGACACTTAAAACACACATATGACGAAAATGATTCATCACACATATTGTTAATATCTGGAAAGTTTTACTACCATTAAACATAAAGCAATGAAGAATATTTGGATGGTACAATAAGTGAAGTTTAAAAGTTGTATGATTCCTTTGAGATATGTAAATGACGAGTAAATGCTGGTTGAAACATGGCCATCCAGGAACTAATACTGAATCTCTGTGTCCTATAATAAACAAACAATCCAACACTTATTGTCAACTGACAGAAGTTCGATTCCGACCCAGTGGCTCAATGGTAACGCGGTGACCACGGAACCTGAAGGTCTTGGGTTCGATCCCTGGCTGGCGGGGTCATGGGTGCGCACTGCTGAAGAGTCCTATACTAGTTGGATGAAACAGCTGTCCAGTGCCCCCAAATTTCCATTTTTCCTCCAACTGATATCAATCTACGATGAATAACAACTCTGTCAAAATTCAATTGAACTGGTACTCATTAGTGACTACCTTCAAGAGATATTCTTGAAGTTCCAATGACAAGTGGTGACCAGTGAAGGTAAAGCCTGATGGTTGTGAGAATAGTTACTCAATGATGATATTGGATGGCAGTTGCGTTATATCGTGAGTTAACAGAACGCCACGGAACCTGAAGGTCATGGATTCGATCCTTGATGGGGTCATGGGTAAGCATTGCTAAAAAGTTCAATAGTAGTCAGATGAAACAGGTTTCCTTTGTTCTTCCAACTGATGTCAATCTATATTGTAGAGTTGAAAAAGAATCTGTTATTTATCTGATGAATAATTTTATTATTATTATTATTATGAAAAATGTTATTGTATACAATTACCTAGTTTTATTTATAGGTGTTAACTTCATTCAATATAATCCAATGATGTTTCCAACTACAGTTTATTATCAAGAAGACTGTTATCCTAGTCATACTAATCACCTGCCAACAATATATACATCAATAGTGAACTCAATAAATCGACCATCTGATAATTCAATTACAAAACCAGAAGTTTCTATAGAAAAAATGAGTAAATATTCTTCATGTAAAACTAATCAACAAAATGATATGAAATCTAATTATATTCTATTAAATAAACAAAATAATTATAATTTATCTAATGAAAATAAAGATATTTCATTAAAGTATAAAAAATTATTATCAAGTAAATTAGAATGTATATGTGGTCCAAATTCTTCAAAATCTCGACAAATAAATGAAAATCAATTGATAACCAATACTCAGGATAACTTGATTACTGATGATTGTAAAAGTATATTTCTTAAGTCTACAGTTGCTAATGTCTTTGGTCTTGGTAATAAAAAGCATAGAAAAAAAAAAAGGTAATATAAAACAATCTTATGAAAAAAAAAATGAATCTCCAGTTCTTGATTTCAATGTTCTATTCTCAGATACTTATTCATTATTGAATTGACTAATTTATCTATATACGTATACAGGAAGTATAAAAGCTTTTATACTAGATGATAATTGAAGGTGAAATGAAAATATAGACCGTGGCGAGATTTGAACTATCGACCTTCGAGGTTTCTGGTTCGATGGTCAACAATCGACTGCTGACTGAATTATTATTATTTCACTTCAATCATCAATTGTGATGCATTACTACCTTTTGGTTGTATTCATATTGACTGCCTAGTCAAGACTTCTTATTCCAATCGAAATGTAACTGAATTCGTATGATATAGAAGAGTATCATATTGATTATCACTTGGAGACTATCTGAGATAGCAGCCGTAGATTGATAGACTAGTTTTATTTATACTGGATAATGATTGAAAGTAAGATGAAAATCTGAACCATCACCGGATCCGAATGGCTATCTCAGATAGTCCAAATGATAATCAATATGATGCTTCCCTGTATCATTCTAACACAGTTACATTTCGATTGAGATGAAAAGTCTTGACTAGGCAGTCAATATGAATACAACCAAGAGGTAGTAATGCGTCACAATTGATGATTGAAGTGAAATAATAATTCGGTCAGTCGTCGAATGTCGTAGGTCAGTTGGTAGACCATCAGGTGGGAAACCTAATAGACCCTGGTTCGAATAGAGCCGCGATTCATATCTTCATTTCACCTTCAATTATCACCCAGTATCAATAAAACTAGTCTGCCAAATTACACCTGCTATTTCAGATAATCGAAGTGATATAAAAGTCTTGTTTTTTCTAATCTCTTTCTTTTCTCTTTCAAAATTACCTAATACAATAAACTAACTTCTAAAAGATAAATATTATTAAAATGTAATTAACTTGATCGTTTTGTATCTATAGTGTATAAATGAAAACACAAAAAAGGAAATCATGTAACTGATTGTAAACACACACACACACACACACATCTTATTCACAACCAGCCTTGACCTGTTATACATGGATATTATTTACTGCTAATTTCATTCGCTTTTCTTTGTATAAAAATGAAAATTAAGCATTCGATTATTTATTTAAGATACTACAAAGTTTGTTAATCAACAGCAATGGAAGAAAACTTTGACAATCTTTATCCCTGTTTGATTTACTGACTTTTTAAACATCAGGTTCAATGTTCAATTGTAGTTACAGCTATTGAGTTAATGCTTCAAATTGTCAATTTCAATAAAATCATGAAGATAACTTTGTTTTCAGTGTATGATTTGTAATTGCCTTCTATCATATACATGACTAGTCGAAACCGAAGTAGAATTATTTAAGAAATAAAATGATACTGCTTGTATAATCCCGTCGTTGATTGGACTGAATTGATCAGTCTGTATTGGTACATAGGCTCCTGCTCAGAATGGATGGTAGCTGGGACCAATAGCTAGGAACATTGTATAAACTGTATCTGTTGCACAAGAACTGGCTATCGTGACTCAGTGGCCTTGGTGTTTGAAGCGGTCTATTCTCAGTTCGAATCCTAGTGGGAATAACACCACTCACTAAGAGACAGGTATATCAAGATGATGAGCCCCGAATTGGACGAGACACGCGTGCAGCATTCTACTCATAGCTACCATTCGCCAGCGATATCGAAATCTCGAGGATCCCCTAGGTCTTTGACCATTTAATCGAGTTATATGAACAATGTCAAACTTCCTGTTTGAGTTTTTAATGTCATATCATTACTTACAGAAAGAGGAATAGTTCAGCTTTGTAGCATCCATCCTTTTAGTCTTATGAAACCGTACTATCTATGACCTGGGATTTTTTAGTTGTGTCTTCTTGTACCAGGTTTCTTGTCCTATCCAGACATTTGAAGATTTTTATACGAAAAAGTATGTCAAAGCAAAATGACATTGTTATTTACGGTTGGTCTTAAAACACGTATCTTATTCACAAGCTGGAAAACTCAACAGTACAAATTTAGATGAGGTCAAGTTGAGCATAAATCCAATCGAATCGGTTGCTTTCATAGTACTTCAACTTACACAAATCTGATCTTAGAAACAAACTCAAACGTTTCGATAATGATGAAGAATCAGCACACTGGACAATTATCATCTTCTTCAAACTTTTTCCTCAGGAAATAATCATAATTTAATGATGAGGCTACTTATTTACGATGCCTTAATGTAACAACTTAAGTGAGGAGGATACGCTAATTATTCTCATAACAGTGAATACTTACAATTTGACAAATAAAGTCTTTAAACACATCACCATATCAATAGCATCCAACCATTTTTTGATTAGTAGATTGCTTAGAAGAGAGGGAAACAATTTTAGAGTGACGAACTGAAGAAAAATTGGCAGTGTAGTGGACATTGCTGATCGGAATGGATATAAGTAGTATGCGTTGGGACGGCGGCAAAAATCATAGGGAATTACCAGCAATAAATAAGGATTCTGCCAAGAGAAACGCAAAAGACAATGTGGGCGTATTCATAGTAAATCAAGATAGAAGCAGAATAGGAAATGAAGCACATTATGCAAATGACTGTCTTAGTGGAAGGTGTACAATATTGATGAGTACCGTAAAAGATGTCGATAATAAACATTCTTTCTTTCCTTTGTCTCCGTCTTCTCATCCCCTACAATTGGTGTTGCTGATTGTGGGCGTGATGAAGATTCCGTGGCCTACAGTGTTCGAGGATGGAGACATCAAGGCCCCAACTCAGGGACTTCAAGTCCGTTGCGGAGATGGTGGGTGTCTCGGATCCATGAGCGAAGATTGTGGTGCTTGGCACGTTGCTCAGGGGTAGAGCGAAAGCAGCATATGACTGTGTGGAAGGGAAGGAGACTTAGCAGACAATGGTTGAACAACTGGAGGCGGAGTTTGACAGCCTAGCGGACAGGGAGCTGGTGATACAGTAGTTCCGGAGCACGAAACTTGGAACAGATGCAGATCCGCTGTTATTGGTTGTGTAGTTGACTAAACTACTTCGACGAACACTTCCCACTTTGGATGACGACTCCCAGGAGCAGTTGGTGGCTGCACAGTTAACCGAAAGTGTTCCGAATGCCACTGCCCAGCAGCTACCAGTAAACGCAGCAAAAAGCCACCAGACAGCTAATGGGTACAGCTGTAGCTGAGGTGGAGTCCATCAGGGATAAATAGTTGTAGAAAACAGCAAGACGGGGACAAAAGAAGGACTCTTTACTACTGACATCTTGTGCGGTAGTCATAAAATGTGCTTCATTTCCTCTGAATACGCCCACATTATCTCTTGCGTTTCTCTGGGCAGAATCTTTATTCACTGCTGGTAATTCCCTATGATTTCTGCCACCGTCTCAACATATACTACTTATATCCATTCCGATCAGTAACGCCCACTACAATAGAGCACACCTGTTCAAATGATGGTAATTCAATGAATATCTAACAAAAGTGCACTAATAATGTCTCTTTAAGCCATCAGTAAAGCAATACTTATAAATATCGGAGGGAAAGTTGATATATATGTAGTTGAGATTACAATCCCACTTCACTTCATTTATTTGACGAGAAACATTACCACTTATTAGATAATGTTTCGGATAAATTTATTGTTCAAAGTCATATTAGGTAATTCTGCAACTTTCAGACATGGTTCTCCTCCTTTGTGATATAGATTGTAGAATTTTTCAATCTCCCCCTCTAACTGACTGAGTTAGCTGCTATAACTGTTGTTCTATCCCATCTAATTGTTGGTGATAGCATGCATAGCTACTGATCAACAACAAAAAACGTATCTAGAACAAGAATAATTTGAGTGAACAATGGTTTTTAATAATTTCTCTAGTTATAAATTCACACAACGAAGCAAAGATAGGTTACCAATGATGGCAACTTTCTGAGTTCAACTGCTCCTGTGGAACTAGTTACATAGGCCGTACTTAAAGGTCTGTATTCATGAGCGCTCATGAACATGTACCAGACTGGTTAAGGAAAGAAATAACTGAGTGCAGTCATTTCGTATTTAGTAGATAGCAGACATCAAATCAAGGTAGATCATGCCTTCTGTTTTGTCATATATCGTGTTGTTTGCAATCTCCTTAAAAGGAACATGAATACACTTCTTATCGATAGCCGAAGTCATACGAATCAACATAAGAAATATGTACATCCACTTTGCTAAACCTGGTCGAAAATAGGGTCAACTTTTCTACTACAAACTTCACATTTCAACCTCTCATTCTTTTGTCTCTCTCACTTCACTGATAAACATTCATTTTCCCATGTTATCAGTTTTATAGATTTTTCTCGTACCATTATGAGTAATCATTTCCAACTCTTATGTAACGCTTCACATTTGTTATTGTACTCGCATGACGTTTTACGTCTTCAGAGCCTACCCGGAAAGCTGTTATGAATATACATAGTCTGGGTACCACAGAACTGGCTGATTAGACAAAATGGTTCAGTTAACAAAGAGAAATCGAGTGGTGTTTACCAACTGAGAACACTAAGACTACAATATGGCGTCGTGCCAACGAACGTCATGCAATAGATGAACATCATAATAGGAATTTAACTCCAGTTAGGCTTACAAGTCTGAGTTATTTCACTTGTAATAGGCAGGTTTAGGACATATAGCGAATTCTGGGAGGTATCTACTTTTGATAGAATGACAATCCACAGACAAACTATGATACTACAAATTAACCGAAAACCAAACAAACGACAATGTGCAAAAAGATAGCAGCTGTAGTCAAGATGTACAACTACACGGTAAATGTAATCCCAGCACAGCTTGAGTGGTTCAAGAGGAGCAATGAGCCAGAAATCATTATATCTACATTGAAAACGTTTTTCAGGCAAAAGAATCCTATGAAGAATATGTACAGTAATATGTAAGAAATAGTGAAACAGCTATGCCTTGATCATCATAAATTATTAATGAATGTAACACTAGCGAGCACAGGTTTATGCATTAGGCTATGAGTTACACTTATGGAGAGAAGAAATCGAAATACACTCAGCAACTACGTACAATAGGCAACGAGCTATACCTATTATGTGAACACCTTATGACATAACCTGGTTGTTGCCTAAGATGAAGTTTCTGGAGCCCAATTCGAAACTATCGATGTAAGCCAATGGTTCATATCGCTGATAATTGCACGATCGCAACTGATAGAGGTACACCCATCTGATTAAATCAACAGAGAAAATCGATAACAAGAAAGCGAATTGCACCAGGTGGTTTACAGAAACAAATCCAAGCGTTCATCACCCGAAATTTAGATAAAATATTACCTAATCATACGACGACAGGTGAAACAGACCCATACACGTGTAGGTAAATTATCATTGTCAATAAAACTCTGCATTAAACAATACTCCGTAGAAGACATTATCTAAAAGCCCTTGGAAATAAACTTACAGTATTCAGTATGAGTATCGAAGACAGGGGTTATCGACTCCAGTTATTAAGAAGAACACATTACCCTATCAGGCAAAATTTATCCCTTGCTACAAGCGTGGTCAAATGAAGATATCAAGTTCATCCAGATAAATGAATGGCTGGTTATCATCACCATTATTATCAATATACGACTAGACACTATCAATGAGAGAAACTTGAAGGAAATAGTCTCTTTCATCTATCTAGGCAGGCAGCATCGTTTCAACTACAGGCAACACCAGCACAGGCAAGGACATCAAAGCAGTCAGGATCGGAAACACAGCAACATAGGCTTTCATTAACTTGAAACCAATGTGGAGATCTGATTCACTGCACTCAGCATACAGCGTCAACAACATCCGGATTTTTAACACCAATTTAGTCAAGTCAGTGCTCTTATATGAGACTTGATGTGTCACGAAAACCACTTCCAACAAACTACACACATTCATCAACAACTGCCTACACTTGCTCGATACTCAAGCTCAGGTGGCCAGAATAATGAAAATAAACAACAAGGAACTCTGGTCTGACAACGAACCAAGAAACTATCGCCCAACAAATATGCAGAATGAGGAAGTGGAGATGGATTCGATTCGGCATACACTGAGAAGGCCGACTGCGGACATCATGCGTCAGCCTAGTTGCCAGAGTGCAACCCCGATGGGAAGCGACGAGGTGGGCGTCGGTGCCGAGGGTGACATAGAGGAGATCGTGCGAGGAGGAAATGAGAGCTTGTGGGCTGTCGTGGAGCCAGGTTCAAAAGATTTCAGAGAACAGAGCACACTGGCGACGTCCCATTAGGAACCCAAGGGACAAATAATAATACGATCAGACATTACTGCGTCCAAGTTGCCCTATCTCATATCAACACATCAAGAAAAAAAAAAGAAAGATGAAGAATGAAATGAGGATAAATTGTATACATCTACGCCATAGACATTAGTTCTGAGCTGTATCACCTAGAGTCTCTAACCGCTGTTTCCTAGTGTCCTGCAGACCCCAACCACCAAGTCTGTATCACCCCACATGGCTCAAACCAACAGTCAAACACTTCATACATTGGTGTCATGTTTTAGTTTGGCCACCTGGCGCCTTTTGGCAGCCTGAACCTACTTCGGCCAACATTGTGCGATGACGAGGTTGAAAATAATGGTTATAAGAATATAGAGATAGGTCTATGGACACTGGTGTTTGAGAATATTCTTAATTTTCATGCTAAAAAGGTATAGAAATTGAAAACATTAGGCTGTTAGAGGTTTATAAGCGAAAACTACACTAGAAAAGCTCAATTCGTCTAAGCTTTAGGAATGCTATTTAAATTTGTTGAAGTCGCACACACACACACACACAGACTCTTGAAAAAGGAGAAGTCAGTATATGAAAAAATTCTTTAAACCATTCGTAAATTCCAAATTTACTGATATAAACAATTAGATAAGAATAACAGAATAGTGAATGGTATGTATTTCCTGGAACTGTACAATTCGATGGTATTCAGCTTAAATAAATGCGAACTTTAAGGTGATGAATGACAGCACAATAATACAACAGGAATTATTTGAAGAATGGAAGATCGAAAAATATGTATAGACCTATAAATTGTATATATACCAGGAACACACATACACCATTAAAAACCAATATCCAATATGAATTATTCAAGGGATATTTGTATAAAGATAATTGGATGACAGGCACAAAAGATACATTTACAAAATTAGGTATATTAAATAGATATTCAATTAGTTGGCAGCTTTTTCTGGTTCAACTAGACCATTTGACTTTTTCGATACATCAACTTCTATTTTATCCACAAAATCATGCTTTGAATCTGAACGCTACAAAAAAAAAAGACGGAGGAGGGGGAAAAACCAATAGAGTGGATAAAACAATATAAAGTTTATATCATCATTTCATTGAAACGAAAAGAGAGGGATACGCTGAACCGTAGAAAAGAACCTAGAAGACTTGGATTTCGCCAGTGATGACTTGTGTCTGGTGTCATACAAACTGGAAGATCTGCAGGCGAAAACTAACAAATTGGCAGAAAAGGCAGCGAAGACGGGACTTCGAATGAATATAGAGAGGACACAGGTGATGAAGATACCCGACCAACAACAACAAACTCCAATCACTATCAACAGGAGAAACTTAAAGGAAATAGTCTCTTTCATCTATCTAGGCAGGCAGCATCGTTTCAACTACAGGCAACACCAGCACAAATGAGGACATCAAGGCAGCCAGGATCGGAAACACAGAAACACAAGCTTTCATTAACCTGAAACCAATGTGGAGATCTGATTCACTGTACTCAGCATTAAGCGTCAACAACATCCGGATTTTCAACACCAATTTAGTCAAGTCAGTGCTCTTATATAAGACTTGATGTGTCACGAAAACCACTTCCAACAAACTAAACACATTCATCAACAACTGCCTACACTAGCTCGATACTCAAGCTCAGATGGCCAGAATAATGACAATAAACAACAACGAACTCTGGCCTAACAACGAACCAAGAACCTATCGCCCAACAAATATGCAGTAGAAGGAAGTGGAGATGGATTGGATTCGGCATACACTGAGAAGGCCAACTGCGGACATCACGCGTCAGGCCAGTTGCTAGAGTAGAACCTTGATGGGAAGTGACGAGGTGGGCGTCGGTGCCGAGGGTGACATTGAGGAGATGGTGTGTGAGGAAGAAATGAGAGCTTGTGGGCTGTCGTGGAGCCAGTTTCAAAAGATTTCAGAGAATAGAGTTCACTGGAGACGTGCTAGTGAAGCCATATGTTCCATTAGGAACCCAAGGGACAAATAATAAATAAATAAATAAATAAATCAGCAGTTCATTAATTGAAGCAGTCAAGTAGCATATTTCACTTTCACACAAGAGGGATACCTTGTCTTTCAAGGTTATTGTAAACTCTATAAATAGGGTCAGTTTTCACTCATAAAGGCTTCAGTCGAAGATACCATAAACTTATCTGATTTCCAGTCTTTTGTTTTCTCTTTGTGAATCACTCGGGTTGCATCGTCTCAACCCTTGACTACCAATCGTTAAGTATTTCTCTACGTTCTCAAAACTCCGCATCATAACAGTTATAGCACCATAAATAAATGCAAATCATACACAAACGCATAATTTATGCTATTGGTGTTTGTGTAACTTTCTACATTTATAAAGTCAGACTATGTACATAGAAAGTTTATACTACAGTCAAAACCTACCTGAAAACTTACACGTTTTAGTTTACATCGTAGTGAAGTAAACACTGAATGAATTTTGAGGAAGTTGTGGAGATTTGGAATTATTTCAAGTTGTTATTCATCGTAGACTGACATCAGTTGGAGGAACAAAGAAAACCTGGGAGCACTGGACAGGTGTTTCGTCCTAGTATGGGAACCTAGTGGCTCAATCGTAACGTGCTGGCCATGGGATCTGAAGGTCATGGGTTCGACCCTTGGCGAAGTCATGGGTGCGCACTGCTGAGGAGTCCCATACTAGTTGGACAAAACAGCTGTCCAATGCTCCGAGATTCTCTTTGTTCCTCCAACTGATGTCAGTCTACGATGAATAACAACTTGAAATAAAGTAATTAATACGCATATTCACTTGATAATTAAAATGAAGTGAGAGAATGCTTGTGATTGAACATTTGGCAAACTTCCCTTTTCACTTCAATTATCGAAATCTATTCATCTAGTCAAACTTAGAATATTCTTGGTTTACAAGTGAACTTTAAAGTAAAAATTGGTAATTTACTTACAGATTCTCTATTCAAATAACCATTTGCTCGTAGTTAGTGCCAAGTTTAAATACTGTTCGGAACACCTAACCACGAAGACATTTCCATTCAATGAATGTAGACTAACCAGACAATATTTTTTTTACTTTACTTCTTGACAAAAAGTATCACCGAAATATTTCCACAAAATTTCCAAGTTTATGCTTAAATCCCATTAGACATGAGTCAGAATGAGTGCAGTTAGAATGTATTGAGATAGTAGACAAAGGTCCGCGGGAGGTGAAAGGATCTCGAGGATGAAGTGCTAGTGAAAATGTCTAAATATGCTAAAGATGTTAGAGTGAATACATCTGCGACATTGTGATCAATTTTCGGCGATATCACTAAGAATCTCCAACTATTGTCCCACAGACCCTAAGCAAGCAGTTTACACGCCTCAAACCAACATATAGGGGACTTTAAAGATTAGTAACACGTTTGTGGTTTGACTACACTGACCCTCCTTTCAGCCAGATTCCACTTCGACTAACAATGTGTTAAGATAGGTAAAGTAGGTGATGATTTGACATGCCCAATACATGTTCAAGTCATCTCAGTCACTGAACATTCACAATTTCTTTACCAAATGACCTGCTTAGTAACCTTCGCTTAAGCTTGACATTGATTACATGGTGATTCCATCTTATGCGAACAATCCTATGAAGAAGCCTCTGGTCAAAAACCGACAACCTCTTCATATCTTTTATTTTTAACGGGCAGGTCACACTGCCACATAATAGGATGAGGTAGAATGTAGCGCATTTTACTCATCCTTAGATAGATAGTCTGACATCTTGTAGACAAGAGAGATGGCATCAGTTAGAACGAAAATGTCAAACGAGTCTTCTGTATCCAAGCTGAGATTTTGTCAGTAACTAGTCCGTTCGGGTTAATCGAAGTGGCTAACTTATTGTACCACTTTTACCACCTATCCTTTAACTCAGAATAGTTGCAAATCAGTCCTGAAGCATCATCTTACATTTGAAAAGTGCAAAACGCATGCCAAACATCCAGATTTTTACTTGGTGAGTCCAAAAGACTTTCCATCCCGTCAATGTTTTACCTTAACAGGATAGTGTCGTCTATGTACTCTAAGTCAACCACTTGGTCTCCCAAATGAGGTTAGGGATATCTAAGGTTATGTCCATTAATACATCTAAAACGAAGTTAAACGAGAACGGTGACATCGAGCATCCTTACCTGTCGTCAATTCAGATAAATCTCCACAAGTCCTAATACGACTACATGAGTTCGAGTAGAGAGCTTTGATTAGGATTACATACTTGTTCGGTACTCCCTTAACATTAAGACATTACCATGACATCTAACGGTCAACATAGTTAAATATCCCCCTTCAGGTCAATACATATGGCAAGTGTCAGCCGCTGGCAAGTATGTCTGTGTTTCAGAACCTGTCAAAGGGGGAAAATTTGATCGATACGACCTTGTCCAGTTCTGAAACCTGGCTGGTTTTCTCAAGTTTGTTATTCTCCAGCTGCAGTCAGGCGTCGGATAACTATCGTTTCTAGAATATCGGACTCGATATTATATTAGTTAAACTGATTCCCTTAAAGTCACTACAAGGACTTTTCACCCTTGCTAAAAACTGGAATGATCAGTGAAAGCCAGTTTGTCGTGACTATATTTGATCCCCACAAGCTATTTCTATTACCTCCGTTACTCTACTCAGTAATTTATTACCTCAAGATGTCGTCCGGTCCTGTTGCTTTACATCAGTGTTCTTCTTAACATTCTAGCCTCCTGTTTTGAAAGATTATCAGAGTCTCATTCTTTTCAGTGATGGTCATCCGTTCTGTCAGTATCCTTAACTCCGACGCAAATATACATAGTCAAACACATACAAACAAATTAAAGGGTACTGAGAAATGCTCGAAAAAAAAAAATCTGTAGTTTTATCATTCCACTTGAAACTTTGTATATTGTTCACTTCAACAACTATTTTCATTATCAAAAACTAGCCAATACTTTTATTACTAATGATAACTGTTGAGAATATATGTAGAAAATTGAGGTATATAGTTGAGATGATTGTTATAACACGAAAACAAAAAAGGAAGCTCAGAAACCACTTATACGTTTATGCATAAAAGTAAGTGTTTCACCTTTGAATGGCACAGCGGGAGGGGTTCGAACCGATACATACATAACTCAAATAGTTGAATATTGTATGCTTAAGTCAACAAGTTACAACTTCTCTTTCTAAATAGTAAGTCAAAGTAAAAAAAAAGGAGTGAATATTCTGATCCATACAAGGTGATACTGAATTATAGAGATAAGAGACACTGTCTCTCTGTATCACTTTAATAATAACAATAATAATGACAGTAATACTTATTACTATTATAATAGTATGAAGAATAACATTTACGATAATGGCAATGCTTTCCTTATGGCAGCTACGTTTGAATAGTGATTTACACCTAGGTAAATAGTTCACAGGATAGGTATTCGTGTGTAGCTGTACCTTTTATACAGAAGTCAGTGATATTGTGCAATTGATGAAGTCAAAGTAGATGCCTAGAAACGATCTTATAAAGCAGTTGTGGATAATCGGCTATACAGACAGTTGCAGCATCAAATAGATATTTCCACAATAATCTATCTTCAGGATATACTAGTGGTTAGTCAGATAAGAGACTACTTATAGTATGATTTAATTTACTGTAAAAAAAATGTGTACATTATGAGTGAAAAATGTGTTTTTATCTTACCTTGTCACCACTAGAATCTGGTTTCTTAGACCCACTCCCTTCTTTATTAGTCACTTTAGCACCGGTTGAACTAATATCTTCATCAGTACGTGCACGTTTCGGTTGATCACGATGATTTTGAACATCACGTGGAGCTGATTTACCTGAACGTAGACTGGTACCTCCTCCTAATCCTGAACCATCTTCTGGGTCATCAAAAAATTCATTATTCGGCATTATAGCTTTATCAGCAGCCATAATAGAAATCCTTTTGTCTGGATCAGCTAGATCTTTGGCTACAGCTTCAGTTTCATCAAAATCCACAATATCGTCTGGAATATCTGATGAAATTCAATTTAAAGTCATTTGTTTACTTTTTTTTCAGAAAAACCAATAAATCAACTTAATCTCATCATTTAAATGCATTTTTTTTAGAATATTTCATCACACTGGATGCTACGCAGAAGCTTTTCCATCAAAGAAAACCTTAACAAATCTCAGAGTTATCAGTAGCTACTAAACAAATACCTTTATACGTTTATTATTATTAATTGTCCCTTGGGTTCCTAATGGAACATACGGCTTCAGTAGCACGTCTCTATTACACTCTCTTCTCTGCAATCTTTTGAACCTGGCTCCACGACAGCCCACAAGCTCTCATTTCTTCCTCACACACCATTTCCTCCACGTCACCCTCTTCTATCAACTTGTTAGTTTTCGCCTGTAGATCTTCATGCTTGTGTGATATGAGACACAGGTCATCGGTGAAATCCAAATCTTCTAGGATCTTTTCCCTGGTCCAGCGTATTCCTCTCTTCTCGCTTCTCACAGTTTGTTGCATGATCCATTCCACTACAATCAGAAAGATCATGGGTGATAGTAGGCGGCAGCCTTGTCCTACTCCTGTCTTCAATTCCATAGCGTCACTGAGCTTTCCACTGTAGATCACCTGACGCGTAGCGTCTTCATATAGTTGTTGAATGAGGTTAATGAAGATTTGTGGCCCTCCGTGGTGTTGAAGCAGTTGTCAAATTACTTGTCGGTCGACGCGGTCGAAGGTCTTTGAAAAGTCGATGAAGTTGAGGTAGAATTGAGTTGACTGCCATTCTATACTCTGTTCTATGATGATGCGTAGTGTAGCGTTGCAATTCGGTCCGAACATGACTTGTACTTCCTGAATCCAGCCTGTCCCGGCCGTAGTTTTGAATCCAGAGCATCCCTTAGTCTCTCCAGGATAATACGGCTTAATATTTTGCTTGGGGTGGACAGCATCACGATGCCGCACCAGTTCTTGCAAACACTGAGGTCACCTTTGTTCGGAAGTTTGACAAGGTAGTCCTTCTTCCAATCGCCAGGCACCTTTCCTTCCTTCCTTCCAAACCTTCTGCAATAGAGGCGTGAGCATGTCCGCTGTTGTCCCTGCGTCCGTTCTCAGTGCTTCTGGTGGGATTCCATCTGGTACTGCCGCTTTCCCACATTTCAGTAGCCTAATTGTATTCAGGAATTCGACTTCCGTCTGAGGGCTTGTGTTCACTGGTATTTCTGGACGAGTTGCAGGTGGTGTTGGTGGTGGATTCAAGAGTTTTTTTGAAGTGGTGAGCCCACTACTTTTTTGTTTCTCCTGTTTGGTAACTAGGTTTCCTTCATCATCTTTTATTGATTTCATCTGTGTTGATCTCGTCCTCCCGGATAGTAACCTGGTTATTTGACACAATGTTGTCAGGTCTCTCCTACCAGCAACCTGTTCTACTTCACTTGCAAGTGTGTAGCAGAAGTGTCTTTTGTCTTTCCGTGCACTCTTCTTCACTTATTTGTCCAGTGTTTTATACGTTGTACTCAGTTCGTCTTTTTGTTGTGCATCCTTACACTGATTCATCTTCTGCTTCACCATTAAGTGTCAATACAAAAAATCAAAGATTACATAGTGCAATGGTACTTGAATCCTGGCATCATTCTAGGTAAAAACACAAGATGAATAGCCTTATTAACTATACAAATCTATACAGAAATAGGTTTGATCTACTTTATTCAGTAGAACTAGCTAGCTAGGCTTTGATTACAATTAACTTGGAAGTATATTCAGTTAACAGAGTATTTATTGAGGTAGATTAAGACTATAAACTTAAGTATTTCTTAGATAGGTAAACAATAATATAATATATGGATTTAATACATACCTTGCATTTGTACACTTGGACAATGAGGTATCATTCGTAAATTTTCGAATAATTTCGTTTTTATATGCTCTAAATATTCACTAGTATTCTGATTAGCCATATTACTAGGGCTTATATGAAGTTTAAAGTCTGGTCCAAAGTATTCATAATAATCATTATAAGGCAAATCATTAGGGATATCAGTTGCTAAGGCAATAGATGTTTCATAAGTCCAACATCTAGCAACATTTCGAATTGTATAACCACCACCTTAATCGAAAAAAAAGAAAAATAAAGCATTTTAAGAGAGGGAATATATATGCACGGTAATGTATAATACTTATACATAGTGACTACAGAAATAAACAATGATAACTATAATAATATACATTTAGTGTTATTGCTTATATTACACCGTAGTTGACTGGACCCAATTGATCAGTCCCTGTTGGCATACAGACAATAACACTAAACCTATACCTGTCGCACAAGAAGTGACTATTATGGCTCGGTGGTGTAGTGGATAACGCCATGGAGTTTAAAGCGTTCTCTCCCGAGTCCCGGTGGAGACAACATCACTCACTGAGAGGCAGGTACAACCAGCTGACGAGTCCCAAATAGGACGAAATGCGCGTCCTGGATTCTACTGCTAGCCACTGTCTATCATTACTATATATAATATATACATTCAGTATATTTTTTTACTAAAACTCAAAAACTATCAAATTGTCATAGTGTAGTGGGCGTCGCTGATTAGAATGGACATAAGTAGTATATGTTGGGAGGGTGGCAGAAATCATAGGGAATTACATATATGACAGTGGATGCTGCTGTATGAAGAGAGCAAATATCAAGAGAGAAACAGAAGAGGAAACGAAGCACACTTTGAAAATGACAGTTTTAGTGCAATGTGTACCATATGTAACGACTATCGTTTCAATTGTTCATAATAAACACTCTTTCCGTCGTGTCTGTCTTCTGTCTCTTCAATAGAACTAATAACTAATAATAATGATAATAATAATAATAATACAAAGTATATGTCATAAAAGAAAACGAGTACAAACCTCCAACGAGAAGAAGCGGTATAGGAAATGAACGAATAAATTCAACGCATTTCCCATGACCTTTTAAACTTAAGTTAAAACATCCAAGTCGATCACCACTAAGTGAATCAGCTCCACATTGTAAGACAATAGCTCCAGGTCTAAAAGTTTCCATAACCTGAATGTGTATATTAGAAAGTAAACACACAAGAAGAATTTACCTTTGTGATGACAGGTTTAAAAATACGTTCATAGCATTCATCATCCATTCCATCTCTCAAGGGACAATTAACAGCATAATATTTACCACGACCAGCACCAATATCTTTTAGATCACCAGTACCAGGGAAATATTCTCCATACTTGTGGAAACTAACAGTCATTACTCTATCGGTTGTATAGAAAGCTTCCTTAATTATGAGAATATGAATTGAATAAGATCGAACTTACTTCAACACCATCTCCATGATGAATATCAATGTCCACATATAGAACTCTTAGATGATATTTTAAAAGTTCTAAAATCCCAATTACAATATCGTTTACATAACAGAATCCAGATGCTTCAGACTTCTTTGCATGATGAAGACCACCACCCCAATTAATTGCTATATCAGTTTGTCGTTTATTAAGCTTGACAGCACCAGCAATTGAACCTCCAGCGGATAATTGACAAAATTCAAATAGTCCATCAAAAACTGGACAATCTTCACCAACATTAAAGCGTTGCATTTGTTTATTGAATTCATGCATATTATCTGGTCTAACATTCTTTAAAAATTTGACATATTCATCACTATGAAATCTTGTCATATCTTCACTGTAAGCTTTAGATGGTCTATAAACTTCCATTTTTCTATAAAGACCATAATTAAGAAGAAGATTATGCGTCATCCTAATGCGATGTGGTTTCATAGGATGCCCTTGACCATAATAATAATTCCCAATATCACCTGAAATGTAATTTAATGAAAAGATGAACTGTTACTCTAAAGTTACTATCAAATTATAATGTTTGTATTGAAAACGAACAGAGCAAATTAATGGTCAGATGATAAAATACTGATGCGAATAAACGGACAGTTAAATCAATTCTTATCTTTTCGGTTGGAAAGTATACAAACCACTGTTGACTGAAGTTTAGTCAGAAAGCTCAACTTTAGTAAAATTGAATGTTAAACACCCAATCAAGAGAAATAATTATTAAGTCTACGGACACTCCTAGGGTTGTGTACATATTTATCACACTGGTTATGTGCAGTTATAAAAAATAATAACCCTCAAATCATATACAACTATCGCAGAAACAACATACATACATTAGGGTTGCCAGACACTGGAGTTTTGACTTCTGAGGTTCAACATCTGTTTTTGATATAGGCTCTCAATTTTTAACGCTCCATTGTGCAGTAGGCGGTGTGACTTAGAGATTGGTGTTCTATAGACTTGAATCGTTATTAACGGTTGTAGACTAAAATGTTGAATACCGAACCATGCCACCAGCGACAGAATATCATAGAGCAAGATTGACTGACCATTTCTTTCCAAAGCGAGAAGACAATATGATCAAGGCTGCTGCTAAACTGACGGAAACAACCTACCGCCGTTACATTCCATCTAACCAACTGTACTTGTCTCAGGAAACCACAAGAGTGAAAGTTACCGAAAATCTGTGGTTAGTTTTGCCAAAATTTTCGGTATGTTGAGATGTCAAGTAGCTGCTATTTAAACAAGTTTAGTTAGGTCCGGTTACAGCGACAGCGACGAAGATTCACAACTTAATGATTAGTGAAATAAAACCGAATTGGTATTTGTAAGATGAATACTATTAGTTGTTGTGATGAGAATGATATTCGACTAATAGACAAGTAACGTCACTCTAGTCCAAAGTTCCTGAGACGTTACAATTTCCGATGTCAAATGCAAATGGGGTTATGAAACAATTATAGCCAAAGGCTTTTAAGTCTTGCAGTGTCTTTGTCAACATTTTCAAAACTCGGAGACGCCACATTATATACAATACGAAATTCTAGTGGTTAGTTAGAAGTAGGAAAAAACTCATGAAGCATAAATCCAGTAGCAAAGATACAAATGGACATGAGATTTTCGAAGCAAACAAACAAGGTTTGGATGCAGTTAATCATCTACACAATACACTGAACTTTTACAGTGATTGAGAAAACAGTAGACAACCACGATGAGCATGCAAGGAGAGGATTTAATTTGGTGGACATGACGTACTTTTTGGCTGCATAGCAATTTGTAATTACTCATGCGCTCTTCCTTTGAACAGTTTGGCAACAACTTGAAATTTTGATGTCTATATTTTTTTGAATTTGACAACACACTTCGAAAGCGAAATCCGTTTCACAAACTTGTACACCTTTGTGTAGTAGAGGAAGTAAATAAGCATTTGAAGGAACGTGACATGTTTCTATATCCAGCAAGCTATGGAAACAGCAGCAGAAATAGTTGGTAACTCGTGACCGTAAGGCTACTAAAGATGAATAGACCTTTGTACGCTAATCTGAACTTAGTTATGAAAGTCTCATCCTGACAAGTAAACTTGGAATATCAACTCAAAAGAAGCGATGATTTGTGAGATTAGTTAACAAAACAAACTCCTGATAACTTTCAGGAACAGGTGGTTGGAACGAACACTTCATGAATTTGGAAATGAGACAGGCTACATTTCACAACTATCCAGAGTCGGTCTTCTACTGCATATCGAAGTGTGAGCATGTTATAAAAAGAAACGGAGTAAAGCGATAAGATTGGATTATCTGCTTCAGAAGTCTTTAACGGCGATAGACAGGAATAGTTAGCTAAATTAACTGTGTTGCAAACTTAAGAAGAAGTTCCCATTGCCAACAGTCAAGTTAATTTATGAAAAATTCTTGAGACAACCTCAAGGAAATTAGTTCAACTAACGCAACGACCCCGATTCTACGATACTTAGTTGCTTTACGCCTAGCTGTAGTTAGGAAACTGGGCAGGTTTTGAGGCAAACGTATCATGCATGCCAATCGCTGACGTTGTAAACAAGCCACTTAAGAAGTATATGCTATCGAGCTAGCATCCTTAAAAAGTTAAAGATGAATGACAAAGGCCTGGCTGGCATCACAAAGTTTGTTACAAGGAAGCAGATATATTGGCTTTTATTTACCGGAATTCTAGGCATGTTTACATAAAAATATGAAGCGTCTCACTCTCACTTCATGGACTACTAATTCTTTTTTACTTGTGATTAATCTCCAATTTACTGCAACTGCATATATAATTAGCACTTGGGAAAAAGTTAGGCAGATGTTCATTAAACTTACAACAATGTGAGTTTCGTAGACCCTAGACACACCATTCACGATTCTATTATACACTCAACCTAATAGGCGAGCGATGAAGGAGGATTTCTTATTGCTCGACCAATAGATGTCACCTTGACGTGGTGGTTAGGCTTGCATATCACAATGACCCAACGAGCTATGCTGGTGAAACACTTAATCCCTCAAGGTCCTACAATACCAGAAACGTCTGCTGGATAGTGGTTAGACGTAAAGCAGTTACCGTCGTGGTGTAAATTACTACCCTATGAGGGCGAAGTCATACTGTTGATAGCTGGATGGGGTGTGACAGCAGGAAGGTGTTTTCCTTAGATGACCAGTAGTACCATGCTGATGCTGCCTTCTCAGTGAAAACGGGGTTAGAAAAGGTTGGCCCCAAAAATAACACACTTCACCATACCCCACGGTCTGCTGGGCCAGGATTGTTGGTTCATCTGTCGTTTCTTTTCGACCATTCGGCCCCAAAAATACTAAAGTTCAAAATAATCATACACAAAAGACTGCGTGTGACAGGCCTCAAGCAGATGTCCGATAGGCTCTGCCGTCACACAAATCTCTTTCAGGTACATTAGGAAGAAATAGCCTTCCACGGTGTGGCCAGCCGGGAAGTGTCAACCACCCTCACAACTCTATCAGCACTCAACTTTCCTCAGACTGCTATCCAACTCCCCCATCATCACCTTTTAATCTTTCCTCACATCTCTCAATTAACGATACTACATCATCTTAAATTTCTCCTAGCTCTGCAGCCTTTGACAACGATCTGAGTCCACAAAACAGTATCATTGGTCTCCTTAAACCACACTCCAAATTACACACTACAGCCTTCAATGTCCACAATCTCCGTCAAGTTGGTCAACAGGCTTCGTTAGCAAAGACTCTAGCAACTCGGGCCATGGATGTGTGTTGTGTTTGTGAGACACGCATACAGGACCCAAGTGTGGTTATTCACCTGACCTCTCCTGACCAATCTGGTGAATCCGCGAAATTCACCCTTCCAGTTTCTCGAGATTCGATAGCTAGCTATAGAAACTCGAAGAGTGTAGGCAGGTGTAGGCATAACACTAAGCACTAGGGCAGAAAACTCACTATTAGACTGGATCCCAGTTGATAGTCGCCTCTGCGTTATCCGACTTAACGGTACAGTGGGAACTAAAAGGAATAGTCAGACTCGCTGTTGTCTCTCTCTGCTTACGCTTCCACTGACTGGAGTTCGTATGAAGTGAAAGACGAGTTCTACTGTAAACTGTCTGGCCTCCTCTCCAAAGCCAAACGTTCGGACATGGTGGTTGTTGCAGGCAACTTCAATGCACAGGTGGGTAGACTGAGAGAGGCAGAAAGGCACTTAGGTGGCACTTTCGGAGTCCCAGCTGAACGAACAGATAATGGTGATCGCCTACTACAACTGTGCTCAGATGACCGCCTATTTTCAGCTAGCACAAATTTCAGACATGAAGAAAGACATTGTCTGACGTGGCGTCCACCGACCTCAACTCAGCGATGGACACAGATAGACCACATTGCCACTAGTCATCGCTGGAGAGGATCGGTGGGAGACTGCCACTCCTTCTAGAGTACGTGTTTCGATAGCGACCACGCGTTGGCCCCAGCGCGTTTATGCCCGCGTCTCAATGGACGTAGAAAAATTTTGGCAACGAAACCTTTACGAGTGCTGCTGGACAAAGAAAACACCAAAGCCATGTTCAGTGAGAAGTTGGCTAGGCAGTTATCGAAACAAAAGACTACCACTCATCCAGAAGAAGCTTGGTGCCATCTCGAGTCTGCTGTGAAAGCAGCACTGAAGACCGTAGCCCAATCCGGAATAGTGGCTAGAAAGAGCCAGTGGATAATCAGCAGCTTCTTCCAACTAATGGATGCACATGAACGCATCCCTGTGGGCTCTGAGTACAGTGAAGAGCGAACGCAAATTAAAAGTAGACTGAAAAAGTCTACGCAACGACCACCAACAGTGGTGGACAGCGAAGGCCAAAGAGATGGATAAGGCGGTGGCGGTGAGTGGTTATAGTAGACAGTTATTTAGGCTTATCAAGAAGACTAGGGGAAAAAGGTAGACTGTGGTTGGTGAGACCATAGCGGAGAAGGACGGATCTGCGATTCACTCGCAGAGGAGACGACTCGACCGATGGGCAGAACACCTCGAGGACCAGTTTAATTGGCCTCCAGCCACCATTGCGTTGCCCGCTATCCAGTCGGATCCTGAATAGAACATTGAGATAGGTCCCTAAACACTAGGAGAAATTGAGAAAGCGGTAGGTAACCTGAAACGAGGAAAGGCGGAGGGACCAGATGGACTAACTCCTGAGGTATACACAGATGGTGATAGGGTGCTCTTAGTCAGATTAACGGAAGTGTTAACCAATATATGGAAATCAAATACGATCCCTTCTGACTAGTCTAAATAACTGATTATCTCAGCCTTTAAGATAGGCGAGAAGTCCTCTTGTGATAACCACAGAATAATCAGCCTGACAAACATAGTGTCCACGATCCTAGGTTCTATAATTCTCCGACGCCTGAGTGGAGCTCGGGAACAACAAGTTCGAGAAAACAAGAGGGGTTTTAGACCCGGCCGCGGGTGTATCGACCAAATGTTCACACTGAGCAAGGTTCTGGAACAAAGACACGCTTACCGACGCCCGACAATAGCTGTATTTATCGACCTACATGCGGCATTCGACGCCGTTGATCGAGAAGTCTTATGGTAAGGTCGCTCACTGAAAGGCATGCCGAGTAAGTACATCACCCTATTGAAGGCTCTACTTGAACACCTGTGAGCGTCTAAGAGCCTATGGTGAGATGTCCAAGCAGCTATGCTCATCGAGTGGTGTCCGTAAAGGGTACCCACTATCTCCATTCTTATTCAATTTTATCATAGATATCCTTATGGAGATGTCCCTCTCATCACCAGATAACACAAACGTTGACCTAACCACAGGAGAATTTTCATTAGACCTAGAATATCCAGATGATATAGTCCTGTTAAGTGAAGACGCTGACAAGATGCAGAGTACTCTGAACACTTCGAGTGGGAATTTGAGAATGTTTGGGATGCGTTTCTCACCATCCAAATGCAAATTGTTGCTCCAGGACTGGTTTTCAACGGTGCCATGGCTAACAATAGAGAGTGTAGAGTGTGTAGATCACTTCATTTACCTGGGAAGTAGGATCAGCCCTGCTCTGGTGGCTCAGTGGCCGACTGGCTTTTGCTAACTTACACCACCTACGGCACCACCGTGATATCCGATTGTCTACTTAAGGTCGCATGTACTGCACAGCAATCCGCTCTGTTCTACTGTATGGCTGTGAAACATAGCCATTCAAGGTGGAAGATATGAGAAGGCTTCAGGTGTTTGACCACCGTTGCCTTCGTAGTATAGTATAGACCGTATTCCGTGGTGTCACCACATGAGTAATACAGAAGTCAGGAGTAGAGGTAAATCAGTTGACGAGGTTATGAACCTTCATCGATTGAGATGGTTGGGATACGTACTACATATGTCTAGTCGCCGATCGCCTTGTCACACAATGTTAGTCGAAGTAGGTCCAGGTTGGAAAAAGGCCCGAGGTGGCCAGACTAAGACATGGTACCAATGCATGAAGTCTCTGACTGCTGGTTTGAACCATGTGGGGCGATGTAGACTAGGTGGTTGGGGTCCGCAGCACAAAAGGAACCAGTGGCTGGAGATTCTAGGGGATATGGCTCAGAACCGATGTCAATGGCGCAGACGTATACACACATTATCCTCATCGTAACATTATACCGATCCTCACCATTTTCTCATTCTTCCTTTCTTTCTTCTCGTACTTTATATTTCTTTTGATTGGATCTTCCTATCTTTATCTTGCGCCTCACTGCCTTTCTACTTGATGTACTGATATGAGGTGTGGCAATTCGGACCATTACGCAGTAATGCCTGGTCCTATGTTGATATTGATGATTTTTTATTGCATGACACAATGTTGATCCTACAAAAATGGCACAGACAAAATCGACAGAGAACCTCGCACACAAGCGCATCGGCTCAAGTTGCCACACTTCACAGAAGAATACAAAGAACAAGTGGACACAAAAAGACTGGTACCAAAGTGTACGAAATCGCGTGGGAAAATAAACAATTTGAAGACAACGGTTAGTGAGAATATTCAAGCTTTATAAGACGTCAAAGACTGTATGTATCTGCGTCATGGTCACTGATCTTCAGCCATTTCACCAACAGTTTTCAATCACTGATTCCTATTATCTCGAGGACTTTAGTCAGGCAGTCTACATCTCTCTACAAGGGTAAGATCAGCAGTCAGAGACTTCATTCACTGGTGACATGTCTTGGTCTGACCACCCTGGACCCTCTTTTAACCTAATTTTTGCTAGCACTGCACGTCGAGGCAGGCGGTGGCTCAGTCGGCATAAGCAGTACATGTTCAAGCCATCTCAGTCGACTAAGGTTCACAACCTTATCAATCGACTTACCAAGTGCCTTTCATCTGACTTCAGCATTGCTCACGCGGTGTTTCCACCAAACACTAGCAATGCTACGGAAACACGTAAGATAAAAATCCTGTGATCGCTACACATCTGGTTTTAACGGCCACTTTTCACAGCCACACAACAGAAAAAAACGAGCTGCTGCGTAGTATATTCGTTCTTAGATATTCAGGTATCTTGCTAGTTGGCGCTTCATATGACAAGTTGGCGAATGCCACGTGTGCCTACTGTATATGACGTTTTGTCAGTACCTCACCCCCGTTCGAGTTGATGCAACTCTCCAAGCAAGCCAAATGTTTGACACATTCCACTACTTCACTCCCTATCATTAAACTGCGAGTAGTTGCTGATCACTTATGAACCATCATCCTACACTTACCAAGTGCAAAGGGCATGCCAAACATGCTCAGATTTCTGCTCAGTGCATTAAAAAGATCCTATATTTTCTCAGCATCTTCACATAGCAGGACAATATCGTCTGCATACTCCAAGTCGACCAGATGACCTCTATCACAGTGCAGTAGTTCACAATACAACGGAAAACTGCTTTTTGTCTTCTCACTATCCAACAGACCTTTTTGGCATGGTAGGACCTCGACAAAACAACCGTTCCAGGCAGTTTAGCTCGTTGGACCATTGTAATATACAAGCCCGACCACCACGTCAAGGTAGTAGCTATCAGCCGGGACAAAAACGGCAGTTTGAAGCGACCTACCTTAGACAAGTGGTTAGCAGGAAGTTACCGCAGCAGTCATATGAAATTAAATTCCTTGGTGTTACAGAACTGACAAAAGACTTGCTTATTATGAGTATTATACAAATATAAATCCAAACCAAACAACTGGGATACTTACACAAATCAGTTTCAGTCTGAGTCTGGAGAATCTCACTCCATAATAGTCACTGCATCTGTGTTTTAGGCTGCATAAAATGTTGAAAGTGCGCACACACACACATTGAGTCACATAATAGATCAAAACGTGTGTGAGTATCATTTTATGCATACGAATGTCGACTACTTTTAGTCGTATCAGAATGGAGCACGCCGCTGTTTAGTACTACCACTACTCACTTCAACAATACGCAGTCGGCGTGGATTAAGAACTTCCTGTACGACAGTATGAATAAACAGGAAACTAGATGCAAACCCGAGTAGGATTTCCTAATGAACCATCGTATTCTTGCACTGTGCTAATGAGTTACCCAAAATGCTTCAATCAGCAGTGCTCCTATTGGTCAATTATGTAAGTCTTAAGACATTCAGAATGACGCACAGATACGCGCTACAACAGGACCTGGATGAACTGGTCGGTTAGTCTAGACGATAGTGTCTAAAAACTAACGGTAGCGAAAGTGCAGTGGCGCACATTGGTCACAGTAACTATGACCAGTATTTAATTGATGGACCGCCATTACCATTAGTCTGGGAATTAAAATTCAGGATAAACCACAAGGTGAAGAGGTTCGTGCACTGCAATGCAGAGAAAAGTTTCTGCGTTGTGGTATGTGCAGAAACTGTAAGCGCTTTGAACGTGATATGTTCAGGTTACACTACCCTACGCACATATGACCCCATTTAGTGTACCGCATTAGTGGAGCCATCATATATCTCTCACTACTTTAACTTGAGAAATGGGTATGAGACACTAGTGAAGTGGAGATGTGGTTCACTGGTCTAGATATTCGACTTTTAAGCAGTGGGTCAAGGGTTTGAACACCAACTGAAGTCCGAGCAGCTAGTTTGTATCACTAGCCCCCACATAATAGATGGCTCACTGTACAAACGTGCAGGAGGTTTCTGCGTCCACCGTGTTTCCGTTTCAAAACAGAATTTAGTATCCGTAATAATGATTTTGTTACCTCTTTTTAGTCACTAGAACTAACTCATAAGGAAGAAAACTACAGTCAAATCAACAGTGTGAATATATATTCGTATCATTGGTTTAGGACTGGAACTCCTTACTAATTCAGTTCAGGCTAACACATTCAAAGACCTTAGTCTTCACACAGTTATCTACTGAAAGGGTTAACATAGGCCAAATTGCCTATTGTCTTTGTGACTGAAGACTTGGAAACACGACCCTTTAAGGGTAGTCGGATACCTTGACAATACAGACCATCATGTGAGAAACAAACTAGTCAAACGCACATCGCAGTGCTAACCACAAAAGCAAGCCCCATAAGAACGTAATTACCAAGACAAATAAGGCCTACTGAGATGTGTAGTAAGCACCAGTAAGGAACACCAAAAAGGTGATTCATAGTGTTTGAAATTAAGAACATGGACTATATCCCTAGTGAGAGAACTTCAATGCATCTACTAGTACTGCCTATTAACACTGCGGTAATATTTTCGTAATCATACTACGAAAACAGTTAATGGATATGGCCAGTATTCAGCCAAATAGACGAAAACCTCAGAATATACTACTTCTTACGATACTACATGAGCCTATACCGACTTTTACAAAAACAAAGAATTTTGTCCTGAACACAAACTCCCATACAGATCGAAAAAGGGGGGGAATAGAGAGTATATGGGGGGATTATGGGGAACTGAAGGGAAAAATAAGGCGAAAATCCTGGGGAAATGCAATCAATTTCCACTTTCTACGTGTTTTCCCCTCGAATGACTCCCTTTCCCCCTTGAAGTAGTCTTTCTCAACCAACCCCACATGTCAACCTTTCCCATAGAAGTCGTTTTTTACTTTCACTTAACTATTTTTCCTTCCTAAAACGCTTTGCTCTCGCCTATTCAATCTTTTTCATGCAGCTTTGCCTCACTGTTTAGTTTCACTCTTCAACTCACCTTCATTTTCTATTTGTTCCCCTTCTTTGCACCTTCATTACCAGACTGGGCTAGAATGTAATAATCTTGATTAAAAGAGCGGCTAGATGCAACCATGAGAAATTTGGAGATGAAAAATATATTTGAGTGAATTAACGTCAAAACGTTCCACAACAAAATAATATAGCCAGAAACTAGATAACCGAGTATGATCAAATTATAATCATGACTCATCCTGTATCTCAAGATTCATGAACAAAATAAGTAGACTTGATAACTTCTCTAATGAACCACCTCAATATCACTCACCGTCATAGTAATAGCACACTTTTTTCGTCGCTGCTGACTCCATTATTTGTTCACCGGGCCCGCACAACCTACTAACAAGTATTTTGTAATCAGCAAAATACAGCAAATTCAGAGGATGTTTAAAACAAAAACAAACAATGTGTGTTTTTTGAGTAATGTGTAACAAATAGTTGTGAGTGAGAAAATAATGTAAAAAACAGGCATCAAATGTACTGTGTGGATAAAGCGAATAGGAAAATCCGCTAAATGCTGATTGCCGTACCAATATCCAATATTGATAATGCGAGCGTAGAAAACTGGTAGTTTTTGGTCTCTCACGTCTAGTTCTTAGGGCTTGGTTCGAGTTGTTCGGTTCACTCCTGCAATGGACGAGGAAATCCCCTCTGCTTTCTTTCTTTTAGCTTCCGTGAGATGGATGTTTTGTGGGTTAGTAAGTTGTAATTTGTGGAGTGATTGGGGAGCTACGGGTTACTGGAAGTTTAGGGAACTGCCGTGACTCCTGTCTGTGTGGGTAACTGAAAGAGAATAGTAAAGTAGTGGTAAAAGAATGAAGAGAGAATAAAAAAAGAGAAGAAGGAAGAAAAAATAATAATGCAGGGAAGAGAAAGGGGAAGGAGAAGAAAAGGAGGGGCGAAAAAGAGAAATAAGAGCGAAAGAAAAGTATTTGGGAATCGCGCGAATGGTAGCATGGGTTTGGTTCCTACAGAAGAATTAGTAGGTAATGTGTGTGTATTAAGGAGAGAGATAGTGAGTGGCAGTTAGGAGGGAGTTGGGGACTAGTGAGGTTGGTGACTACCTGAGTACGTCCGTGGTAGTCCATGCGAGGTGACATAACTGTCTAATCGCCTCTTGAATGAGTCGACTGAGGGAGGTATAACGATGTGTCGCGACAAGGCATTCCATAAAGCACACACTCTTAGGGAGAAAAATTTGGACCTGAGTATGGTGTTCGCCCTCTGGTGTGCTATCTTAATGGGGTTTCTTCGTGAAGATCGTTGAGTTGCAGGCAAAATTGATTTGTTTGCATGGTCTGCCTGATGGGCGATCTTGTATGCCATAATGAGGTCACCCCTTTTCCTGCGATAACCCAAGGTAAATAGGTTTAGGTGTTTAAGTCTTTCAGGATACGTCTTTCCCCTTAGCCATACAACTGATTTTGTTGCAGTTCTTTGTATTCTTTCAAGGAGATTAGAGTCTCTCTTGAGTGTTGGAGGAGCCACCGTATTGAAGACTTCTGGATGCGGCCGCCCGTAGGATTTGAAAATGATGAGGAAGAGTTCGGGAGTGAGGGCGCCAAGCTGTCTACACAGAAAGTGTAGAGTGGCGTTCGCTCTGGTTGTCACACCTTTGTAGTTGGAGCTGGTGTCCAAGGTGTCGGTGAAGTTGAGCCCCAAATCTTTCTCCGTGGACACTCTGGTGATAGCACGGTTGCTCAACATGTACTGGAAGTCGGTCGTACCTGTTTCATTCTTACTGATGTGCGTTACTTTGCACTTTTCCAGATTGAAGCTCAGGCCATTTTCCGACGACCAGAGCTCGAGTTGCTGCAAGTCCTTTTGTAGCGCTGTGCAATCAGCTTCTTCGTTTACCACCCTCCAAATTTTAATGTTGTCAGCGAAGAGCAGGATGGGTGAGGATATTTTATCTGGCAGATCGTTGACAAACGGGAGGAACAGAAGCGGTCCTAGGATTGCTCTTTGGGGTACTCCTGACGTCGAGGGCCTCCACTCCGACCTTATTCTGTTCACTTTAGCGCAGAACTGCCTACCTTGGAAGTGTGAGCTCAAAAGCTCGGCAATCTCTAGACTGCCTAGTACACTCTCGTCATGGCCTGTGACAAGATTCAATCCCTAACTAGCCAACTTTCTTCTTGACATGAAGCGGTACAAGTTTTTGGGATTGCTTTGTAACCTCGCCACCAAGTTTGTTTGATGGGAAAATCTGTCGATACGCACTCTAATGTTACAGCGGTTGCGAATCCTTTTGTAGTTCCAGAAGTCAGACTCCCTGCGTGATGTATGCCACTTGAACCAAGCCTGCTTCTTGCTCTGGATAAGCCTCTCTGTCCCACGCTTTAACCACGAGGTTCTCACTGATTGTCTGTGTGTTACTTCTGGTACACTATGACTTATGGCCCCAGTGATTATTTTCTTCACCTCCAACCAGCGTTCATCTATTGTGAGATGAGCCCAGTCTACCGGCCATGATGCATTCATGAGATATTCCCCCATGGTCTCATAGTTGGCCTTGCTGTAGCAAGTGATGGTGTTGGGCGTCTCCAGTTGCAGAGCCTCCCTAGTTATCATGGAGAAGGTGATTACAGCGTGGTCACTCTTGTTGCTAGAACCGCATGCTTTGAAAATTGTGATTTTCCTACTTCCAGTTAAATCCTTTATGCTTCTTGTATCTAAGCACTGAACCCCGTTGTTTTTTTGCTTCAGGTGATCAAAATTACCGGTAAAAGCAGGGCAAATGTTTTGGGTGAATTGCTTACAGTCATTTACCAGCCGGTTTGGTGTTTTATCAGATTTGTTCTTTGAGGACAGGAGGCTGGGAGCCTATATTGATCCTTTTCCAGTAGGTCTCTTTGCTCGTCCAGCCTCCTTTCGAACGAGTCGATTGATGATGCAGACACCACTTCTTCTGGGAGTCGGTTCCAGGCGTTGATTACTCGACGCGAGAACCAGTACTCTGAGAAGACTATGTTCGTTCTTTGCCTCCGAGGTGTTCCAGCCTAGTGGAAAGGAAGGGAGAAGATAGATCAGGCGCGAAGTTATTCCTTAGAATCCTGTGTAGCATGATTAGGTGGAACAAAGTGAAGAGGTCCAGCTCCTTAAATCGATTTTCATAGGTGAGGCTGGCCATCGCAGGGATCGTACCAGTGATTGCCCTCTTAAATCTTTCTAGGAGGTCTGCGTCGCCTTTCAAACAGGCATTGGCCGCCTGTGTACAGTTTTCTAAGTTAGACCTAACTAAGTATGTGTATAAGATGTTGAACATGTCACCACTTATTACCATAAACGTCCTACGTAATGCCCGGAGGGTCCTAAAACTCCGAGCTGCTACCAATCGACGGTGAGCCGTAGTTTTCAAGTCATAACCCACTGTGATTCCTTCGTCATTGTGGGTGAGTACTGAAAGTAGAGGTGTCCCATCACTATCGTTGGTGTGTGCCCCAAGTGCATGCTCACACATTTACTTGCATTGATAGGAATCAACCACTGCTCTGTTCAGGTCTGCCTGAAGCGCACGTATATCCTCATCGTTTCCAACTTTCCACCAGATTTTTGAGTCATCAGCGCAGAGAACCATGGGAGACTTCGTGATATTTGGCAGCTCATTTACGTATAGAAGAAATAGTAAGGGGTCCAGGACTGTACCTTACGGCACTCCACTGTCTACCGACTTTCAAGTGAAGAGTTTAGATCAGTCCTTACTCTTTGTTTCCTACCGACAGTAAAGTCTCTTATCCATGCGAGCAGACCGCCAGTGATTCCAAAACCTCCCAGTTTTCTGAGCGACATGGGATGAGGTACTTTGTTGAACGCCTTACTAAAGTCAATGAAAATGACATCTACAGGTATCCTATCATCTTTAGACTGGGCCCTACTTTCCCTGGCTGTAAAGAGGTTCGCCAGGCGAGAGAAATTTCTACAAAAACCATGCTGTGGATGAGACAGTAGTGTACTGCTCTCTAGGTGGACGGTGATGGCCTTTCTGATTACTCCTGGGATTTTTACCAAGATACTAGTCAAACTTATCCGTCTGTAATTTGATGGGAGCTGCCCAGAACCTGCCTTGTGGATGGGTGTCACTATGGCATCCTTCCAATCCTAGGGGAGTGTGCCTTCACTGAGGGACAGCCTGAACATAGTGGTCAGTGGGCCGGCTACATAGCGTCTTGGCTCTCTGGGCAGCCTTGGGTGCAGCTCATCCGGTCCCGTTGATTTTTCCACGTCGATGTTATTTAATATCAGGAGTGCATCATTGCGATCGATATCCACAGAGTCTATTCTGTTGGATATAAATAAATGCTTCTACTGTTGGATAAGTGTCAACAGAAGACTCCCATGCGAAGACTTCAGCAAAATATCCAGCCGTGGCTTCTGCTTCCTACCCATCATCCTCAATCAAACAGTCATTTTCTGTCCGTTTGATTGGAGCAGGCACACCACGCTACATCTTATTTCTATAGTTCATGTGAGAAAATAACCCCTTCGGATGTTGCAATGCAGCCTGGGAGGGACGTTTTTCAAAGCATATTGGAGGCTGGTGGATGGCAGCGACATATTTACCGCACGTTCCTTTGTAATGCTTCATCGCTTCTGGTGTACCAAGGTGGGTGGCAAGACGCCAACACTTTTTCTTACGTCGTAGAAATATTTGGATTTAGTGGTTTATACGTGGAGGATAATGTTTCCGTCCCCGCGTGACAGTCCACGGAATGTGCTGTTGGGTCACTTGTGTACATAACTATTTGGAGGGGCGCGACGCACCTTCAATGGAGGCTTCTAGATTTACTGTCAAGGTACTAGGTGCCAGGCGAAACATACATCATCTGCATGTGAGAATGCTAAGTCCGGAACTGGTGGAGCATGCTGATGATCATATCTAGTGGTGTCCTAATTTGCTGTAAGAGAGCTAAACGAAACTAATGTTCCCAGTAACCTGTGGTCAAACGAATTGCATGATGCTTTTGTTGTTGGTCTATCCCAGCCAGCTGATGGTGCGCTGAAGTTTCCTACACCTAGACACCAGCATTTATCTGTCCGGAGGGTCAGCTTGTTCAGGAGGAAGTCTGCTGTCTCACATCTAGGGCCTTGGTATACTACGATTACGTTAAGGTCTTGCCCCTTGCATCTAAGTCGCCAGCGCAGCATTTCACATGTCCCACTTTCGTGTCCATCTGTTTCTATGGCCTTTACAGTTAAGGCATTCTTGAAGTAAAGAAGGACACCACTAACTTTGAGTACCAGTCTGTGTCTAAATGGGATGAATCCTCATAAATGTGTTTCACAGCCATTGACCCAAGAAGAAAACCAAGTTTCTAAGATAGCAATGATATCAGGGCTTTCGTTGGTTGTCACATTACTGAGCGCAGTCCACTTGCTTAAGAGACGACGTGCCCTTGTGTATAAGACAAAGAAACTACTTGAGTGAGTTTCCGTCCTATCCGTTGAGGCTTCGGCATCATTTGCTGTAGAGACCTCGACACACAAAAACGCACCACCTTCAGATCTT